ATGTCAAAGTGTGATTGAAGCTAAAGGGCTTCACACAAAATATTAAATAATTCCAGTATTCTCTGCCATTTTTGATTATTTTGTTATTTTTTCAACCGTTCTGATCATTTTGGCTGCCATGGGTTTTGCAGTAAATCACTAAGTCATCCATATCATATTTATTGTCTGTGAAAATTATAGAATATAAAACAACTTTGATAAAAACTTTTACCTACTTTTCTGACAAAAACAATGCCGTTCTGAACATTTTAGCTGCAACTGTATTTCTGGTATTAAAAGCTATTGTGTAAAAATAGTTTTCATAGTGTTTTAACCCTGGGTTGTTAAGAGTTTTTTGCTTGTCCGATTTATGTTTAGTGGGTGAAGTATCCATAATTTCTATGCTCTCTAGTCTATTAGCGCTTTGTTTCTTGTCATGTTTTGTTCTTTGAAGATCTTTTCTTTCAGCTTGTTTGTTTGATTTTGTTTCCTTAGTTTTTCCATTAGGTTCTTTTGACAATCTTTGTTTGGATGATGACCATTCCCTTGTTTGAGATGAGATAGAGTTTTGTTGTTTTGTTCATCTATGTCCAATTCACTTGATTCTTCAATTATGTACTGGGTTGTGTTATTTTTTTATGCACCTTTTGATTCTCTTGGGAATGTTTAGAGGGTTCTATTTCTTGAAGGATTTATGTACTTTGACTTGCGATTTTTGGAGTTAATTATTTAGTACATATAGATACTTTTTTGTTTGAGGTTGACAGGATAGGATTTGTTTTGTCTATGGGAGTTTGATTTATGCGTGATATACTTCATTTTAATTGGGGGGATTAATCCCATTTGCCCTGATCCGCCAGGGCTACACAGATGGTATAATTGTGACAAAAGTGGATATGAGCACCCACATTCTCTCACCATATCTCTCCACATATAGTATGGTGTAAGGATTCACAGCCATGTTGGAGTCATTATCTATCATCCCAATTAGCTCTTGCCACTACATGACTAGCTGATTGAAATGGATTGGGTTATTCCATCTGTCTGTCTATCCCAGCTAGGGACCAAAGTGACATGTTGTGGACACTCCTGGTCAATTTATACTGGATCAGGAGTCACTCAATCATCAGGACTCTATCCCCAGGCATCACAGGTCACCATTGAGGGGAATTTGTAGTTTTTGGGAATCAGTTTTTGTGAATGTGCATTTTATATACTGTGATTTGTATTGCTAGTATTTCTATCACAAAAACCCGTCTTTACACTTTCTTAGTATTCAGACACCAGCTTGAGGGAGGGGAAAACTATTTATTCATAGCTGGGACCCTAATAGGTGCTATCAGCCCAGATCAGCGTGGACTTGGGAACAACAGCAATTAAGAGGTGGTTCCACACTCCCCTAAACCTCCTGATCAGAGGCCTTATTGCTGGATACAGTTTATCATCATACACAGGACTTGTTTTGAATATGAGCGTTCATTCCAAGCCTTCATTTGTTGCATGCAGCTGGAATTCGCATAAGCATCTTTCTATTTTTTAAACTTTTAGCACTCCATTTTTACTGTTAAATAATGTGAGGTTTATAGTAGGAGAGAAATATTTGATATACAGGGACTCTTCAATAGCAAGATGTTTCTGATAATGTGATTTAATGTGAATAGAATTCTAGTGTTTTTGACCAGAATTTTTATAAATCTATACACACAATTTTACTGCAATTGAAATAGACATCTTTGTTGCAAAGGCTACTTCCCATTTCTGTTTGCCAAAAATTGGATAAGAAGAGGATAGAAGCCAAAATGTGCAACCCTTTGAAGTCATTCTTTTTATGACTCTTTTTGTATTTAAACTGAAATGAACAAACAATTTTGATTTGATATTTGATCATCTGACAACTAGAAAAGATATGTATACTGAACTAGTAAATAATTATTGAAGTATGTATCTAGCATAGTAATTCAATTGAATGACCTTACTGATGAGCTAGTAAAAGTCAGTCCTGTTTTTACAAATATTTTTATGTTTATTTAAGTATTTATCTGTAAAATTTCAAATATAGTATATCTGTAAAAGGAAAATATGAATAAAAACAAAAGGAAAACATATCCTAGCCAATGTGTTATAAAGACAAAAGGAAAACTTAACGTAGCTGACATATTTTAAGTATTTATTATCAAACACAATATATATATATATATATATATATATAGATAACTAGACTCGTTTGAAAAACCCTCAAATTTTTGATTTGCTAATCAAATCAATCTCGAGGAAAAAAGGTTTTAAAAAAGAAAGAGCTACAAACATGAACTTCTGCCGACAAAAATCGCACAGATGCAGGTCTGAAGCCCAAAGAAAAAACCCGATACGAGTAACAACTAACTAACAAAAGAGCTCAATACAACCGTAGAGCAGACCTAGATACACCTAGTGAGCCAGACAAATCTACCTAGGTTTCACCTAAACGGATCGTCAGGGGAAAGTTTGGCTAACGAGGCAAAGAGAAACACATATTTATAGGTGATAGCTAAAATCATACCACGTGACAAAAAAAACAAAAAACAACCTAGGTGGTGGTGGTGGTGGGGGGGGTAAATATTTATTCAACAAAAAAAAAAAAAAAATCCTCAGTGGAAAGTCAATAACGGGAAAATCTCTCTCTCTCTCTATATATATATATATACACACACACACTTTTACCTGGGAAATATCCTGAGAAAGGTTTGCATTGAAATTCACTGTATTCATAAACATTGATTATTTTATATGTATTCAATACCTTATATCAAACTAATGAATGCATCAGAGATTAATTTAAGAAAGAATGATTCCATGTTCACTGCTTCAACAGTTGATTGACATTATGTCTCTATGCAAGATAAATAATAGAAATGAAAATTTTAAGCATGCATATATTTATTAGTCTTAAATAAGTGCAATAACATTCAGATGATTTTTTGCTGGTTTCAAATTTTTCTCAGAATGTTATGTTTTATTAATCAATAAAAAATACAATTTTATTTTCCTTATCTAAGAAATGTCTCACATGAAAATAAAAAAAAAAGACTAAATGGGAGCACTGAGAATAATTATGATATTAAAAAAACTTTTTCCATAATTCTGATGACATTATACTTTATTATCACTTAAAACAAGTGATAAACTTAATGATATAAGGATTCTTCATAACATTCAGATATGAAATAAAATCAAGTTGAAATGCAATGATAAACCTAGGTTAAAAAAGATTAGTAGATTGTGCAATCACTAATTAAAATATAGTCTGATTTAAAGAAACTTTTAATTTGATTCAATAGTCAAATTTCTCAATTCTTTTTGTATAAAGATTTCTTTAATTGATTTTTGAGGTTTTCATGGAAAATACTAAAATCTTTTTGGTTAAATTTTTTTTTTCATGGGATCAACCAAATAACACAACATTTATTCTTTTAATAAATATGTATTTATAATTTGGCTGAATCCATTTTTCTCCTCCCCCAATATATGTATGTGCATATTTCTTTTTGTAGTTGGATTTTTTTCCCTTAGAGTCACATCAATATTAGTAGTAGATGATATTTAATATATTATTAAATGTTTAATAATTAGATTTTTTATGTGAATCATGTCTATTAGAATTGTAAATATTTATTTATATCAGTATAATAAAAAAAAACACTTTTTTAGGTTGCCTGCTATAAATCAATGGTTAACAAACTAGTCTGCAAGTGAATTCAATCCTTAATAGATACCACTATTATTATAGCTTAGTAACATATTTGCCACTGGTGTCAGTGGTTGGTATTCAAGCTTAGGTAAAAACCAACATTTCAAATACTGATTTTCAAGACTGGAAGACTGGTTCAACATAATCTTCCTATCACCATTCCCTTGCCATTTCGTCATCTGGCTCAACAAATATCAAGAAATCTTTCTCTATCTCAGGTAAACTTCATTTTGGCTACTTCATTTTTAATAGAGTTATCTTTCAGAATCAAGATCTTGTTTAAAAATATTTAAATGTCTTGTACAAGAACTCTTTTTGATGCTGATTTTCTATCACACAACCATAAATAAATCTGCTATCAATAAATCATTTTACAAAGGGAGTTTGAAATTTTTTATAGACACTTACAATAACTTTTTATGCTTAAATCTTTTTTTTTATTATTAAAATTTCCTTCACAAATCATGGTTGAAAACTGTCTAAAGGATTTAAAGGATGTTAAACTAGATTTAATTCAATTGGAAAAGGTATGCCATAGAAGTTGGAAATAAATACAAACTCGCATTTTCTTTTATATTTCTTTCAATAAAATGATAACCTTTTTTTAAAGAACATGCCAGGAACATGACTTTTGTGTGGAAGAATTTTCACTTCTAGATTTGTTATTATGTACCATTTTTTTCAAGTGAAAAAATTCATCTATATACTAATTTTTGATTAACTGTTAAAAATCGAATTCAGATTATTAAAATAAATTATTTTATGAATACATAGAATTTTTGTGTTCACTTGATCTTCCTAATCAAGCAAATTTAAATTTCTAAATAATTCCCTACAAAATTATACAGTAGTAAAGATGATTTATCATAGTTTCCAATTATATCAAATTTATGTAGTCATTAATCATAAAGTACTTTTCTTTCAGGTCAAGTTCTTAGTTACACCTCTTATTCTAATCATTCTACTAAATTTAAATTGTTATAATTTCTTATATACTGGATGAGATTAACACATCTTTTAAAACTGTAAAAATTATTGACTGTATTATCCAACTAAATTTATAAGTAGATAATTTAGAACAAAATTTTCAGTTTGAAATTGAGTGAAATATGCAAGATTTGGTTTTGTTAATATCATGCAAATGTATTGATTTACTCAATATTCTTGTTGAAATTCTTGACACCCTGACATAGAACTATCTATAGTAGGAACTTCCCATCACCAATTCTTTTTAAACTTTCAAACAATATATAATAAAAAAGAAGATTATCATAAATATATTTATTTTACTTACCTACAATTAGTCTTTCATCATTTGGTATATCTTTGAAAATTTTCTTATAATCTTCACTACGAGATTTGTAAGTAGGACTTAAAACCTACAAGAAAAGAAATATAAATATACAAGAAATGTTATCCAAGAAGTAATTTATCAACAAAGATAAATCCAATTGACACAACAAAGATATCTTATTGAAAAACAGTCTTTCAAATGATGCAATATTATTCAATATAATTAAGTCATTCAATCATTTAGAACTAGCATTAAAAAAAACACAATTTTAAAATTTGAGCTAAAGAGAAATTTTATGAGATAAGATAATTTAGCAAATTACAAAATTTTGCTCAATTATTATGTAATGAAAGTTTAAAAACACTTTTGATGTATGTTAAGATAAGTTATAACAAACTCATTCTAAAACTAACTTTTCTGTCATTTAATACAAAATCAGAATAGAAAAAGAGTCACTATTTGAAAATGATAAATCTTCTGGTAACTCTTTTCTTTCTGGTGTTAAGGAAAAATGGAATAATTAGAAAAATAAAAAAATAATTTATGAAAAGCTAAAAAAATACCTCATTCAATGAAAACAGAACAACATGAGGAATGTTTTTTTTTAAATAACGCAATATTTCAAACTTCAAATAAAATTTGGGTTTACGTAAAATTTGTTTCAGATATATCAAGTTAATGCAGAGTATCTGTTTCTCAAGCTATTTACTTTATCACCATTTTCAATAAACATTGAAAGATTTATACACTTTTGGAGAGAAAAATTTTAAGTTAAAGCTAAAATGTATGCTGAAATAAATAAATGTTTGATATAAATAATTTTTACTGTAATCATAAATATTGTTATAAATTCATAATTTTAAATAACACTTTTTAAGATTGCAGTCAGATTTGAGACTTAAAAACTTTGCCTAAAAAAAGACAATGAAATTTGTGAATTCATCCCACTGAATTTATTGTGGTATTGTTGAAAAATACTCTGCCTGAAATAACTACCACATTGCAAGTTGCAATAGGCAAAATGCCGTGACTGCTATTTTCATTAATCGGACAATAAATTTAACTGAAAAAGAAAAGAACATGAGTCACATTATAGAAACCATGAGATATTGTCAGAAAATTGTTTGGTATTGTCTTTATATATTTGTATACATCAGTGTTCAAACAGTTTAACAATAGCAAAAAGAGGAATTTATTTCAGCCCAGTTAATTAAGATCAAGGTTTTGATTTTTCATGAATTAATTTGCTTTCGATTGTTGCTTTTCTTAAATACCTACAATAAAAATATAGTTTATGAAAGAAATAGATCAATTAAGATGTTTTTCATTGTATGTCAACAATTTCTTCATGCAATAGAATGAAAACAAATGATTTCAATTAGAAGATATTTACTTTCAATCAGTCTAATATAAGTAGACTCTAGATCTTAATTTCTTTTTTCATTATTAAGTGCTTTTCAAATATAAAGTATGCAAAGACAAGTAGACAATTATAAAGAATAAGTAATTTATAACTTGTATTCTTTTATTTAAAACATACTTTCTGTTTCTATTAGAGTTTTAATCAATTTAACATTGAACTTCTAAACAATTTCAAGATAATAAACATAAAATTATTCATCAAATATGAATGAATCCTCAATAGATTAACCACTTGCATGACCAATATCTGTTTTCAACTAATGCATTAATATTTACATACTATCATTTTACATTTCTTTAATAAAATAACATATAATTAAACATTTATTTTACAAATGTAAAAGTATACATGCACACAAACACACACTATAACAAATTTTATTATGCAAGTCAATGTTTTCCCAATAAATTGGTATTAACTAACCAATGTTGAGGAAATCTTAAGGGTATATTTATAAAAGCAATATATTGTGATTTTAAGCTTCAATACATTTATCCTTATTAAAAATATTGATTATAATTTGATTTAATGGTGTCAGGTTTTATTATGCATACTTCAAAACAATCTATTCTTTTTTTATAAATACATTCAAAAGTCTATAGAAACATATTTGATTAAGACAATATCTCATAAACCCAAACAAGTTATTTTTCTATTATTTTACATGCAAATATGGACTTCTTGATATAAGCAACTATCTTCATGAGTCTTTCTTCCATTAATTGTCTTTAACTTTTATATTGTTTTTTACTTCTACATAAATTGCAATAGTTTTTATTGTTCTCTAGAGAACTTCTTTGCTTGAATATTGTTTTCTATTCTCAATCTATTTCAATGATGGGCAACAGGTTTTCTATTAGATTACTATCAGGAAAGTTTAGGGAGCAATTTCATTAATCTGGTATCTTTGTGTTGAAACTTGACTAATGCATAGAATAATAATACAACACAAAATTTACTTAGAACAAAATGTATTGAAACAAGAAAGTGTACACAATATTTACATATAGTCTTTTGTATATTCTTGGGAAGACCGTTCCTGGAGAATGTGTTGACTTAGTCGCAGTCGGGCAGAGTCTCTGGATTGAATCTCTTGATTCCTTCCCCTCGTCTTCCCGGTACCAACCATATTTATATGGTCGGTACTCCACTATGCAAATTAGGTGGATCCTACCACAACACTTTGAAAACTTTTTTGGCAAGGTAGGCAATAAACAGAGTTGAGGGAGTATTGTTTTGTATGAAAATATTCTTTCACTTAAACTTCCTTGTATTGACCTATACCACTTTTAAAAAAATTATCAAAGAACTTACAATAATTCTTTATATTTATCTTGATACCATCATCAACTTTGAAAGCAGCTATAATACTAGCTTTTACCTCCCTCTATTGTCTTCTAAGTCATGCTGGTTGACTATTTCCATGAAAGACCCAACATATAATCTAGCCATTAGGTCTATCCCATGTAGTTCTATATTCATCATTAAAAATTACTGATGAGAAATCAGTTTTCATGTGCAGGGTGCGATGGGTAAATTTTTGCCATTTTATATTTTTAATTTTGTGCATGCATATTGTTTGTTTTTGATTTTGTCAACTGCACAGTGTAATAGGGTCAGTTGGACACTGTCTGTTACAAAAAGAACACCATGATGCAATTCACTCCACCTAAAATTTGGAAATGGCATGCTGTACTACATGGCATTTGTGCCATAATCTTCAATACAAACAATCTGAGGACAGTGCAGAGGATTCAGAAAGAGTTGGATGAATTTAATGGTGTTTACAAAGGTACAGCAGCTCAGAAAAATTCACTCTGATTGTTCTGATGTGAAAAAAACTCCTGAATTTGTTGGTGAAGGCCTCAGACTCAACACAGAGACCTACATCAAGTGCCTTGAGGAAGTAGAGCTGCCTTGGGTTAAGAGGGTGGCTGCTGGAAGACACTATGTCTGGCAACAAGATTCTGCACCATGCCAGACAAGCAGGAGAACCCAGTCATGCCTGTCAAACAATTTCTGCGACCACATCACCACTTACATCTGGCTACCTAATTCCCCAAACTGCAGCCCCCTTGATTATTATATGTGGGGTGCAGTTGAGTGAGAGACCAAAAAAACTCCTTGTGACACCAAAAATGAAGTGAAGGCAAGGATTATGGCAGCACTGACCAACTTAAACAAGAAGACCATCCAGAAGAGTTGCAGGAGATTCTGAAGTTGTTTGGAGGTCTGGTTGAAACCAATGGCGATTTTATTGAAAAAATTACTCCTTAGCATTTCAAGATATTTTTGTGTAATTTTCGTAAATATATCTGTTAGAATGAGATGTCAGTGTTATTTTCCTTTTTGCATAATTTAGACAACAATTTATACATCAAACCCTGTACTTCTTCAACAAACTTCTACATTTCTCTTTGTGATATTTACTTAAAGGTAGTAGTTTGTTTGCTTTCATGTATTTAGTTAATGTTCTTAATATTTTGCATCTTATTTCTCACCATCTTTTTCAGATATTTTCTTGGCTGCTTTTGTTACTTTTTTAATTATTCTCAAATCTCTTTTTGTAACATTTTTCAAGCAAGATTTTATTTTCTTCTTCTTGCCAATGTTTTTAATTTAATTTCTTTTTTGCTTGTTTTTTTCTATTGTTTTCCCATCACTCAACTTTAAAATATTTTGTTTCTCTATTGAGGTTAGATCCTTCTTACAAGCCATAGAAATCTTTCTATATCTAAAAAAGACATCACTAACAATATTGATTTACAATATAATGAAGAACTTAACTTTTGGTATAAAATTTCATGCCACATATGAAGTTATTGTAATTTTAAAAAAAATAAAAATAGATATAATAAGGTGAAATTTGCATAGTATATTTATCATACAATTTGAAAAAGTCATCAATATCATTTAGTTAATATGCATTTTATTGTGAAAACATTTACTTACAATATATATATATATATATATATATGTTTGAAGATCTTTTGTTATCACAGAGTGGGGTACTTAATACTAAGAGTGATAAAAAGAAAAGCATAAGGAAACTGAAATAAATTGGCTAGTCTAGATGGCAGAAAAAAGATTTTAAAAATTAAAAGTTTAAAATTTCAGCTTTCCAACATCTTCAGTGTTTCCTGTCAATTTCAAAATAACAACTGATTTTTCATTTTTATATCTCCCCTCTTCTTCCTACACATACATAAATTCATTAAAATATTAATTTAATCTGAAGTTTTTCAAGAGGATGAATCATATTACACAGAATTTTTTCCAACTTGTCATTCATTTGCATAACATTGTTCTTATATATCTGAATATAAGTATAAAAGTATAAAATATTGCACAATGAATTGCATAATAAGGATAGTGAAGGTTTTTTCATGTTGCACAGAAATAATAATGCACTTCAGTTTGAGAATTACAGAAAAACTACCAATAAGAATGACCTGGTCAATTTTTATTCCCACCACTGTAACAAGATCAAATAAGGAATAATTATAGGATTCTCTTTAAGAGCACTAAGAATCTGCAGCCTCCAATACTTATCCAAAGAAGAAATATACATAGAAAACACTTTCAAAAATCTCTAATATCCTTATTATTTCATCCACAATTCTAAGAGAAAGGCATACAAAATATACAACTGCAAAAAAGATAATGTTATTAACAGTGATAAAGTAGATAAAAACAGACAAGTACTACCTATTAATTCCATAACATCCACTATCCAATTCAAACATCAAAATAATTACAACCACATTGGAAACTATATATATTAATAAATACACATATACTGATATTTGTAATGCAACTTGTTGCACTACAAACGTAGGTATGTGTGTATCTATTAATCTATACTTCATAGACCTGTTTAACTACATTGAGCACTGTTTTGTTTGCACCATAAATTAAATATTTATTTGCTTATCTATATATGCATGGTATCGCATACATATACAGTTGCTAATATCTCGTTATTTAATTTATATTCCTATATATATATATATATATATATATATATATTGTTAGTCTAAGTCAATATAATTTTTGAAGAGTGATGAATATTAGTTTTATTGTTGAAAAGCTAATGTCTTGAAAGTTTTAGAATCATATTTTACCCTGTTCAAAAATTATGCATATTAGAGGGGACGACCTAACAAAAGTCAAGTCTAAAGCTCTAAATCTCACATATATAAATGTATCATAATCCTGTTTCTAATCATCTTAGAAAAGCTGGATTATATGTAATTTTGATAGGCTCTCCATTATCTATGTAAAAATATATTAAAATTGGTTTATGACAGACAGTGCAAACTGATTTGATTTTTTATCTACTGATTTCTTATAGCAGATCCTTTCATCAACACTTGTTAATTTTTAAATATTTTCTCAATACCTAAGGTGACTTACATAACTGGGTTTCAAAGGAATTTTGGAGTAATAAATGTTACATACACACAAATTTCATTAAATATGACTGACAAGGTACTGCGGTTAAGTTTTTTTATTTAATTTTTCTTGTGTTCTTATAATTTTCTTCCTTTCTAGACATAAATTATTCATCTTGCTTATAATTACCATGAATTTGATTTTTATAGAAAATATTAATGTTATTGTTTTTTCTGTCCGTTCAGTGTTGCTACTGGTTACCTTAAAAATAAAAAATCTAATATGGTGATCTATAAGATTTATGATAATTTATGTCCAGACTTGCAACCATATCTGGTTTAAACTGACGGGTTGGTGCCATTGACAATTGGCTTTTCAATTTCAGTTATTTGGGTTTAGTGTTGATTCCCTTACAATTCACCTGGACTTGGTTTCTCCAAGTAACTGACATCCGAAACAGGCCTTGATTGACAGTGCAGTGTATTGGAAGTTTGTGGATTTTGTTGATAACAGTTGTTCAGTCCTTTGCCTTAGGTGAAAGGTATTTCACCATTAAATCTCATTGTACTGTCTGATTTACTTAGACTTGCTGAAGCAGGTATTATGAACACTGGTGAAGTTTTTGGTGTTTTTACCAGGCATATAATATTTTCTTTTTCTAAATGCTGTAACTCTTCCTGAACTTTTTTCTTCATAGGAAGTGGTGTCACTTTACAAAATTCACCTTCCTCGGTAGTTTAAAAGCTTTTATTGCTGGTGCCTCCAGTAATGGTTCCCTCAAATTTTCCATAACAAACAAACCCTGCTTAGACTTTGTCTTTGGAGTTTCTAATAAAGCCTCCACATAATTGATAACTTTAAGCTGGTGGTAACCTGGTCAATATAGTTGTTTGTGACATTTTTGAATAATTGGGGAGTTTTCTAAAATAACTACTGAGGACTACCATTACATCTGCTCCAGTATCCAATTTGAAATGAATTACTTTACCACATAGCTTTGTAGCAACTTTGACTTCAGTTTGCCAGGTTTCATCCATGACCATGTTAATTCTATTATTAATAGTAATAGACCCAAGGATATAGTGTGGTTCTTTCTCCTTCATTTCTCGAATTTTAGACCTGCCAATCCTAGACTTTTTTGCATAATGTCCTTTTCTTGAACACTTTCAGCAAATTGCATTTTTGACTGGACAGTTATTTTGAGTGTGAGATGGAATATTGCCACAGCATATACATTTATTTGTACTTCTTTTATGGTGTACTGTATCTTGAGGCTTCTTTTTATATTTATTTATGTTACTCTAACGTTTGCTTCTGTTGCATTTGTGCCTAAAGAAATATTTTGAGTTTGTTGCTTGGAAGTTTCATAGGCTCTGCTTATATTTATACATTTGTCTAGGATAAACCTTTTTTTATCCTTTAAAAACTTTTCCCTGACTGTATCATGTTTAACCCCTACCACTATTTGGTCTTGAATTAGCCTGTCTTGCATTTCCCCAAAATTGCAGCCTTTTGCTAACTGCTGGAATTCAGCAACATATGCCCCTATACTCTCTGAAGCTTCTTGATTTCAAATATGAAATTTGTAAGTTTCATACGCTTCATCGGTTTCTCCTACAAAAAATTCTTCAAATTTTGTTATTATTACTACCAAATTTTCTTTCTTCTCTTCATTATCGAATTTCAACCCCTCATAAATGTCATATGCATCTTCTCCTATTATTGACAAAAGGACAGATGTTTGGTATGTACTATCAGGTTCTTTGTTGAGTCAACTGTCTTTTGACTAATTTTGAAAATTTCAAATAAACCTTTTCCAGTTAGTTTCCAAATTCTTTGATAAAACCATTTTTGCAAGAGGCTGACATTTGCTCCAATTTTGTGCAATGGACAAGTCGTCAATTGGACTAAACATCTTTTTTTTAACAAGAGAACATATTTGTTTTTTTCTTTTTACTTTATAAACTGCATGCAGTTTAAATGCAAAGAAAAACAAAATTCTTTTTTAGCAAACAAATAAATGACTTTACTTATAATTTCTTATAATTTTAATTTTTTTTTAGTCCATTTGTATATTCCAAAGCCTTTTTTTTTTTGTGGTAATGTTTTTTTTTTCACTCACTACTTGGTGTAAGTTCTTCCTGACACCATGTGGCATATTTAAGTGCATTAAATTAAAGGAGGGGGAAAGAAGAGAAGATGAAGTCTTTAACTGTTTATTTTGACATCCAAACTTGTTGATGTGTAGAATTTAAAATTTCCTCTCCTAATTCATGCTCTGTTTTTATAGTGAAGACAAATACCATTTCTTGACAAGGGAGGTAACCGCAGATTGCCCCACACCTGTTACTTCAGGTTGTTTATGATTCACCAACATTGAAAAACAGATGGATGGACGGACTCATGTACACTGCGCTTTATTATTATAGAAGTAGAGGCTGGTGTTTATGACTATACTAGGCCTGCTAATTGGATATGTCAAGCATAATATATGTATCATAGCTTTTAATATTTTTTTACTATATTTTATAATGTTGTTTCTTGTTTATTGTCTCATCAAAGGTTTCAAAGATCATTTTTTACAGTTTCTCAGTAGTAAATTCCTGAAATTGAATAAAATATCTGAATAAAAACTAATTCACTATATGAAACCTCAATATAGCAGATGAAGACTATTTTGCTTGTTAAGTGAATTACATCATTTTGTGATTCTTTTGTTATATATTATCTATATTTACTTATATATATTTGAAATTTACTTATTCACCACTCATTCATTTAATTTTATTGGTTAGCTATTACCTGATATATTTTATGAATTTAACCATTATTGTAACTTTATGGTATAACAAAATTCTTTCTGTGTATAACTAGCACAAATCATCTGATTTTTTATTTTCACTCATTTCCTATGGACACATGGTCCCATTTTGAGGAGCTGCCACCTTACTATTCATAGCCTGTGAGGTTAGCAGACTAACTGCTGTATTGCCAAATGGATTCAAGTAGATATCTATTTGATCTGGAAATTAACAATTAGGATTGATTTTGCTAAGCTCTCCGATGCTATGTACTTTTAGTTTCATATCTACAACAGATTTATAACACTTTATAAATTTATAAAATGACAATACAGAAACAAAAACAACTATAATTTTTAAACATAAAATTATACATATATAATGTTAATAAAATTTGACAGTGAATACTGCCTGTTTTAAAGAGGATAAGTGAGTTATTTACAACTAAATCCTTTTGATTCTTCCTATAATTTGTTATTTTTCATTTATCAAATTTGTTGCAAAATGTTCACAGTACAATAATATTCTAAGTATTTGAAATAAGCAAATTGTGAAGAATTTTACTTGGATGATTTTGAAGGCTTATTCTGAGAAATTAATTTTGTGTAACAGTATATATCCATTTTATCTTTTTATCCTTTACAGTAGCAATAAAATTATTAATAATTTTCAGCAACAAAAAAAAAATTCCCTAGTTAATTTAATTATATTTATATTAATCAAACCTAAATTTTGGACTGAGGAGTATTAGAGAAAGCTAAGGAACTGTACTTTTAAGTAACAGTTAATTATAAAGATTTTATTAGAATTCTGAATAAAAAAAGAAGGAATTCAATCCTACTTACTGAATACCATGATGATGATTTCCTCTTCTTCTCAGCCTTTCCTTGTTTTAAGCTTCTAGATTCATCATCTCTTCCAGTATCGCTGAAAGAGTTCTTATCAAAATGTATACTGAGATCATAAGAGCGATCTGAGATCTTGTCCATTACATTATCAAGGGATTTCTCAAAGGCTCGATCTTGAGCAGAACCCTTCAATAACTCAGTCCGTTCTGCTTCATTAGCTTTCTCACAGCTATTCCGAGCAGACTTTTGGTCCAATGACTGATAATGCAGGTTGTCTGCAAAGCGAGGTGACGAATCACTCCAATTCCCAGCATCAATGGACTCCAATTCATCTTTGTTGAAAGTGAAGCCATTGTCTGAAAATGTCATGAGTGGATCAACAAATGACACTGAAGAAGAACTGTTGCGATTCTCATCAGCTTCTTTGATACAAGGGCTCCGACCAGTTCGCGAAGATACACTTGAAGTTCGCCTAAAAAAAGGTAAACAAATAAATAAATGATTTTTCAAACAGCAACTGACCTTCACTAAACTTCTCTATGTATAATACAGCATTTATAGATATTAAATTTACATGTTTCTACAAAAACTTCAGATAAAGAATAATGTACAATTTGGTGACTACAAGAATGCTTAAAAGTCAGAAATCAAGGCACTCAGAATGCTGTCCTAAAACCATCAAATATATACTTATTTTTTTAAGAAATTAAATTTTTGCATATATAAATAGTGAAGACTTGAATACATAAATAAATGGTATGGGAACGAAGTATATTAAAATTCTTAATTCATTTCTACCATGTTGATATACAGTGGCAGCTTGTGGCTAAAATTAGTGGGAGTGCTGCTTCAGGAAATTTTTAACCATTGTTTTAAATGTAAAACAAAACAAACACATAAGAAAATTTATACATAAACTTGATAAAATCATAAATGTAAAAATCATTTTTTACTTATAAATTGTTACACTTCAAGCTTGATCTATTCATTTAAAAATGAAATCTATTCTTTTTATTTTACTTTGAGTGAAAAAGTTAATAATTTTCTCCTTAATTCCTGGATGACTGCTGATGAAATTTTTCTCCATTGAAAGCATTGCAAGTGCATTTAGTTTTCAGGATTCATAGTGCTCCTTAGGAAAGTTTTATTCTTTTCAATGTTGTAAAGCAGCATTCTGGCTCTGATGTAGTCATGGGAAGTGTCAAAAGGATTTTTATCAGTTTTGTAATTTCACTACAAGCTCCATCTAGATTATTTTTCAAGATAAATTTCAGAAGCTCAATTAATTTGCAATATTCATGCATATTGGATCTAAAATAGAATACTTTTTGTTCAGTTTCAAGCTTTACTTTATCAATCATGGAATATGCTTCAATGGTCAGTACTATCTCTTCTGTAGGTAGTTCATTCTTAAAACTAGTAAAGCTTTTCTTGTTGAACTATTTAGTAGCTACTAAGTGTTTAGCAGAAGAATACCTGTCCATTATATCAATACATATACAGTTACACACTTCCTTTGCTTCTGCCATGACTGTTGTTGAAAGATTCTTACAGTACTTTGAGTTTCTTATTTTTAAATTAGCAGTTTTGAAATCTGTTATATATTCATTGACTTTAAAAACACTAATTTCTCGATATTGCATTTGGTTGTAAATTACTTCAATATGAAGCATAATCTGATGAAAAAACTCTAACAAAAACATGAAATTATCATCACCCTGGTATTGTAAAAGTTCTGTTGCTTCTACAATTGTTTGATCCACATTTGATGTTGATTGTTGTAAGGCAGCTTTTTAAAGATTGCAAATTTTCATGAACTCTGTCCCCAGTCCATATGTTAAAGTTCCACCTTGTAGAGGATGGACATGGAATGCTGATGTCCATATGCTTCTTGAGAATCAATACACATTGTGATGTTCTTGAGAAGATAGTTGGAATAGCCAAAATGTTAGATAAAAATCTTCTTGCATTTTGTGTAATACTTACTTCATTTCTCATTATTAAATAAAGTTGATGTGCATAATAGTGAATGAAATGTGCACTACTATAAACTGCTTTAATTGTTGCTTGAACTCCTCCTTTTTTGCCTTTCATGACATTTGCACCATCAATTGTCTGATCTGTCAGTTTTTGTCCATTTCCTTGAAGGATTATGTTTAATTGTTCTATTTTGATATGTCATCTGCAGTTTCATTTTCTGGAATAAAGAATCTTCAAAAACACTCAAATATCTTTTCATTCAACCCACACCATAGAACAATGACAATTTAAGTGTGTTCCGAAAATCTGTTGTGTCATCAGCCATGATGTCTACAAATGAAGCTTCCCTAATTTCTGTCCTTATCTTCTCATTTGTAGCAGGTAGTGAAGTATCTAATTTTGAATGGTTTTAGAAACACCTTTGAAAACTGTATGAGTTTCTAAGTGATTCTTCAAATCTGGATCTAACTCCATTGCAAAATTTATTAATCCTCTTAAATACTGGATTTACTGAATTATCTTTTTCATCAAGTCCACATAAGGGAGTTTTAAAGTTTCCACACAATAACTTTACAGCAGCAGAACCAAGTTTTCTGTTGGTACCATTCAGAATTAAAGCTACAAATATACCTCTTGTTGCTTATTCCTGGATGAAATATTTGAATATCAGGTACTGAACAGCATCTTTTCTTAACTGTAACTTTCTCACAGAAAGACAACTGTGAAAACTTAAGCTATTGAAGTTCACTTACTGCCACAGAACTTATTTCTTGAGAATTCAAGGAGGCCATGGTTAATTTATTAAAATTTTCTATAGAATAAAACAACTGAAAAAAAAACCCCAACGAATTAAATAAGATAGCTGGAAGCATGATAGTCATCTACAGTTTATCACATTCAAAAATATGGTACATGGCTTTTAAGCATAACACACACTGAGTCAAAAATAAACACTACCTTACACTCGGGCAACAGGGTTGGCACTGCATGAGTGACAGTTTTCCCTCTAACCAGTGTTCAACTTCTTTTCTTGGACATGTGTACATGTGTACACTGCATTACTGGAACTGTGAAGCACACAGTTCCATACAAGGATTTTTGTAATTTTTCATAAACAAGGAAATGGCTACTGACATTAAGCTTAAGGATTATTATTATTATACAAGTATAAAGAAAGAATTAAAGAAAAAAAATGACTCATTACAGTGAATGTTATCAAAAATATTGAGTAAAAATAGAGGGTGCTGCAATTGCACTGTGCCTATACATGAGCTGCCACTGTCAATATGTGTATTCTAATATGTAAGATGTTTTTTAATATTCTTGAACAGTTGAAAACATACTGTTTTTTTCTTAATTAAACTTGGTACGAGAATATTCTTAATTACCAAAATTAGGTTTTAATCAAAGTGCCAGAGAAAAATTCAATAGAAATGGAAAGCACTGAGAATCTGGCAATGTTGCATTCTGGTTGCCTTTGATTTTATATTAATGGAGTTTGAAACTGACATATTGTTAATAGATAACCTGCTTTATAAACCAAGTTACAAGTTTGATATTTATTTACTTGCCAATGATCTTGACTTTTAATCGAATCCCCTCTATGATTACAAAAGTCATGGGGATGATGATGATGATGATGATGATGATAATGATGATGATGATCTGGAGTTATTTTTGCTATCACAAGAGGAATTCTCTTGCTTCTAATGTTCCAACTTTCCACAGATTTATAAAACAAACATTATCCTTAGGTATTTTTCAAAGTAGAATTTTGAAGTAAATTTAAATCTAATAGCTTTTCTGTTATTTTTCTTTACATTAAAATCTCCAGTGTGTATGTTTTAGGTCTTTTGAATGCTTCAAATACAAAGACTATTTCATCATTGCAAAGTTGTTGTTCTTTTGGAGATACTGGATATTTTTCATAAATGGAACCAGCCTTTTAAGATCTATTTTGTTTAGTTTACACCAATCTTTATGGAAATAAGTAAAAACAACAGACAGGAAATAGCAGTGGAAAATAACACCATTAAAGCAATCAGCACACATGCTATACACCTATCATCTGATCAGAGATCAGGTTCAGAAAATTCTAATATCAAATATAAATTATAAATTTGAGGTTCCAAAGACATAGCCAAAAAATAGTAATTCATTATTTTACTGGAATGTATCAATAGGTTTCAATGCAGAAAGGACATTTGCAAGATCTTTGCAAGCAGAGAAAACAGATGTGATATGGATGGAGTAGACAAGAATGTTCAACAAGAACAAGGTTAAAAATGCAACAAAGGAAAAATGGAAAGTGATTTATATGAAAAAAATACAAAGAAATTGGTCTGAAAAAATACACAATGAGTAAAACAGCATGTTAAGAAATAAAAAAAAAATTGCATCAGTATTTCACGTAACAGTGTCAAGATAAAAACGCAGACTGAAATATACATACATATATATATATATATATATATATATATATATATATATATATATATATATATATATATATATATATATATATATAAATACATGTCTGTTTGATTGATCATGTGAACAATGAAACAGTTTTAAAGAAATTGGGATCTAAAAGGATATACTTTGAATCAGAATTTTTTTTTCAAATTCTCGGACAAATAATGAAGAAAGAAGGCTTGGAAAATTTAGAATTCATATGGCATATTGAAGGCAGCAGAGGTAGAAGTAAACAATGAGTAACCTACTTCAGTTGTGCAAATGAATGGTTGAGGAGAATAAAAGAGTAAAGAGTCAAATGTTGCTTATAGATATATGGTACAGGAAGTTCTGAAGAGTCATGATCATCTACAAAGGACACAGCACATAAAAGATGAATGTTTGGCTGTTTTACAAAATACTCAGTTGTTTGGTTTACTCATTGCAGATTTATAATACTTATATATTTGAAAAGGTTAAGATCCTAAATATCATTAACTCTTACCTAAAGTAAAGGTGATTTTTTTCTTGTACATGGATTATTGTAATGTTATATCACTATAGCTAAAGTGACATGGGGTTTCCAAAGAATGAAAGTTAATAGCCTGGAATTAGTCTGAAATAGTTTGTGATGACCATATATGTATTTCTTAAATGTCTTTAATTAAAACAAATCATATGCAGCCTTATGGGGAGTGACACATTTTCTACCCTGCAACCACCATCCCTCAAATGCGAAACTGCAAGTCTGTCACTGTTCTATCACTTTTTCTATAGCAATTGTTCAAATGAGCTCTATTCTGTAGTTGTACTAGTTCAGACCTTTAAGGCCAAAACCACTATGCTATGTCCACAGAGTTGAACCACCCTCATTCTCTCTGTATTTCAACTGTAAGGAGGAAGTTCCACTCAGACAGCTTTTTTCTCAAAGAACTGCTACTTTATGAAACAGACATCTATGTGGATGTGTTCCCAACTGTTACAATCTTAACCTCTTCAATAGCCTTCATATCATTGTAATCTTCAGTTTCTACTCTT